ATCTATCTGCCATTGGCTAGCTCAGTCTGTCACATAAAATTTGCTTGCAAGCAAACTCACAAAATTAACTTACAACACACCATGCATGTAAATATTGAATTTTTTATAAAAAAAAGAGCAACCTTTACCCCAAATCAGGCAAAGCAGGCAGATTGAGTTGCTCACAGAATCATTCAGTGATCTATCTATCTGCCATCGGCTAGCTCAGTCCCTGAAATTTGCTTGCCGTGAGTCTGCACTGAATTTGCTTGCAAGCAAACCTTCAGTCCTAAGGGAGGTTCGACTGTACTGAGCCGAAGTTCTAAAGACTAGCTAGAAAGCAAGAAATCCAACCATTTCCTGCTTCCTAGCTAATCTAAATCTCCCGGCACAGCAGAACAGATGATGGTCGGAAAAAGGAAAAATAGCAATTTTAGCAGGCAAGTTTGCCGGGTAAGGAGTGAGTGGGCGGTGAGGGTTCCTGCGGGCCATGTGGGCAGCGCAGCCTTGTGTTTCTGTGCAGCCTGGATTAATTGCTTTGTGGGGGTGCTCTGGGGGTGAGATTTCTCTGTGGCCCACCAAAATTTTCTCAAGGGCCGCACCCCACCGGTTGGCTGATGTAGAGTGTGTTGCAGTCGTTAAACATGAGATGATCTGAGTAACTGAACACAGTGATTCCTGATCCAGGAGATGATATAAATTGCACAAAGGCTTTCCTAGCCACAACTGCTACCTGCTCTTCAAACCATTGGCAGGCTGTTGCTAAGCAAGAGTGTCACAAACCCTTCACATAGCTGTGAGGAAAAAAGTTTGAAGACCACAGAATCCATTTTTGTCTATTGACCTCCACATCATGCTGTCAATTTCAAATTCTTAGAAAAGTTCTGGGATTTCCCATGTTCTTTCCCAGTACCAATTCAAGTGCGACACTGGAGAAATCAAAGGTCAAATGATCACAACCTTTGTCCTGAACAAGAGAGAAAGGATAAAAGGCTGCATGTTAACCTCCCCAACCATAGCTCTTTGGCCAAGTTTGACAAAAATCTTTTTAATTTCATATTATTGTACTTCTGTTGTTTATTGTTTTATTGTTGTGTTTACTTTTTTCAATCTTTTTTCCATTTTATTGTTGTAAGCTGCCTGGAGTTAGCACCATGACAAGATGGGCAGCAAATAAATTTAATATTTATTAAAAAAATCAATCCAGGCAAGCCAATTCATTGTTCCATTTCCTTCCAATGTATGCTTTTACATTGGCTTCTGGGAGCTCAAAGATGTTTAGAGTTGTCCTGATATGCTGTTGAGTACAAGTTTGAGTACAATCACTGGAGTTAGATGGGAAGTGTTGGAAACATATTAGCAAAAATGACATTGCTCTCATTCCTTACTTTCTCTTTCTAGGGTTGGCCCATGTATGCACAACTCTTGATTGACCTGTTTAAATATTTGGCTCCTTTCCTGAGAAATGTGGAACTTGCCAAGCCTATGCAAATTTTGTACAAGGTAAATTAGGACACAATTTGATGAGGAGAAGAAAGGAAATTGGAACAGACTAGAAGAAAATGGAATGGCTAATTAATTCCTGTAACAAACTGAAGGAGTTAACAATGCTTTTCCTTTCCATGTAAAGATTGCTATATTACTGTTTACTGAACATACGCTCTTAAATCTAGCTGAAAACAAGGTGCACATATCTGAGTGCTCATTAATGCTACTTTTAACAAAATTAGTTGATTACAGTAAATTCACTTCAGTGATACTTAGTGATATTTCTAGGATTTTTCCATCATGACTGACTATATAACTCATTGGTAGAGTCCATATCTTTTACATTTGACTCAGTTTACAAAAATTATGAACAACTCATTCCTACCGGTGCATGCCGACCTTCCTCATTTATCAGCCAGAAGACTCTAATCCAGGTCTTTGCCACTGGCCCTTGCGCAACATCTGCCCAGGAACTTTAACATGGATTCCCAATGGAAAGCCAAATGGGTTGCCAAACACCCAGACATAGGAAGACATATAAATAACCCCACAACAAAGGTGTTAGGCTTTGAACTACCACATCAGCAATGGACAACCCTGAATGGCAGTCACACCTCATATGGTGTCTGCTGGGGCCTTTGTATCAATGGGGCCTGATACCCTCCCCTCACTGTGACTGGGCTCCCATGTCAAACTGTAGATCACATCATGATTGCTGAGGGCTTTCTACCAGTCCAGTATCTGGTTTTTTTAATATAAACGATGCTGTGCTTCAGTGGTTAGATGGCGTAGACATTGGTATTTGAACATAGATTTTTTTAATATTTATATTTTATTGGGGTATGAAATGTTAATATATATTGCTAGTCCATGTGTGACATGCCATACGCTAAATAAATAACTGCAATTCTGCTGTCTTGAGTGTCTATGCTGTATGCCTCTCACACTTTCTCTCATGATAGATTGGTAATTTATCCTCTTAATGCTCCTGTTCATAGGGAACACTGCGTGTGTTACTGGTATTATTACACGATTTCCCAGAATTCCTTTGTGATTACCACTATGGATTTTGTGATGTGATTCCTCCAAACTGTATTCAGCTAAGGAATCTGATTTTGAGTGCCTTTCCACGTAATATGAGGCTTCCTGACCCCTTCACTCCCAACCTTAAGGTAAGATAATTGGTACTTTTATTTTTTTAAGGTATTTATGTGTTAGGATTTTATTGTTTTAATGCTGGAAGCCATACAGAGTTGTTTGTTACAAGATGGGCAACAAATAAATTCAATAAATAAATACACTGCAAGTTCTGTAATGTTGAAAGATTTAAGACCGTGTATGTTGTGTTGCAACTAGTTCTCATTTAGTGACTTGTTTAGCAACCCTTCACAGTAAAGAAGTGATGAAAAAAATAATGCTGTGACAAATTCTCACATTTACAACTTTAACAGGCCTATAAAGCAAAGGAAAGCTGCAGTAAGTTGCAGATTCGCTTAGCGATTTCTTTGTTTAATAATCAAGTTGCTGATTCCAATTCTGGTCACCAAATAGAATAACATGATAAGAAGGGATCTTGGAAGGCTTCTAATCCAGCCACCCTCTCAAGCAAGAGACAACGTTTCCTAAGAAGTCAATTAACTAATTTGTTTTACTATTTCTTTGTCTTTTGTCCCTCCTGTCATCCAAAAGTGTAGTTTTGGTCTCTCAGTTTGCATTCTGGTGTCCCTTGGGTGTGGCAGACCTCAATTCCATCTTTTCTCTTAGTTCATTATATATTTCTTTCAAAAGCATGCTGCAAGGGAAAGCACCAAATGTCCCAGTTTGTTCAGTTAGATAATTACCTCTCTATCCCACTTAGCACAGCATGATGGATGCAGCATGAGTGAAGCGACAGGGAGAGCCGTTAGGGGGAAGAGATGAAGAGCTAAGGAGCTCTCCTGCATCCCTGATTTTGCCGGAGTGCTGGTAGAGGGAACATTATTTGCACTGAGTTAGTTTTAGACTCTGAAACTGGCTGAGTCAGCCAGGACATCATCGATCCTGACATGGCTAAAGGTTGACTTAGCCAGCCATCCTCCTGAGGTCAGTAAAATGAGGGTCCAGATTGTTGGATGGGAGAAATACGCTGTCATTGTAAACTATAAAGCACTGTGGGGCGATATGTAAGTCTAATTACTGTTGCTATTGCTATAAGTAAACAGAACAGAGCTCTTTGGAGAATTCAGCTTTTTTGTTTCCATTGGAGGAAGTGAGAGATGTAGGAAACTGCTCTTGTGCCCTGCAGGAAATGCCCTATGTTTTCTTCCCTGAAGACAAGAATGAGGCATGCTGCAAGAGGAAACTGATTCCCTTTCTAAAAGACAGGAAAAATACTTACCCTCCATTCTGAGGAGCTCAGGGGGTCTGCACAGGGAAGGCTTTTTACCCTGAGGAGCAGGAAGCAACCAGTGGTGGAGATTTGAGATGCCTGTGTTAGGGATATACACCCTAGCAGAACGTGCAACGGCAGTCTAGCAGGCAGGCAGATATGTGAGACAAAACTAGTAGCTTACACTCAGTAAGACAGATACACTGTGCAAGTTAAATAGTTTTTATTCCAGCAAGATTTATAGCATAGTCAATACAGTCCATATATCATACACTAAGTTCAGTTAGTCCGGGGGTTATTCAGTTTGTAAAGTCCAGTGTCGAAAAAGAGTTCATTAAACTTACAATCAATCAGTCCTGTCTCTTTTGCAGTCAGAGATATGAAGAAAAATCAAACCCCTTTTCTTCTCTCAGCAAACACGCAGTTATCACCATCAATTCATCATTGTCAGCATTCCAGTAAAAGCCAGGCAAACAGTGAGCTCTCTTGCTCCCTCTTATGGTGATTTTACAACCGCACTCAAAAACTTGGTTTACAGTTTAAAGTGATACATACATAAACTCACTAACATAGTTTATATATTATTTTACCCAAACTAAGTTAGGTAACCAATGTTATCCCTAACAGCCTGAACAACCGAAGCAGCCATCTTGCCGTTTGGATAATCTTGTCAAGAAAATCTTGTTTTTGTACTGGTGGTTGAATTGGAGACATGATGAAAAGATGAAAAGATGAAAAGATTCCTATGGCTCTTTAAGCTTTCTTACAAATTATGAATGAAAATGTTGCTAAAGGAAAAGTTGACATTTCTTGCAGCTTTTATTCTTACATCAAGTACAAGTAGTCCTTGACTTGTAACCAAAATTTCAATTGCTAAGTAACACAGTTGTTAAGTGAATTTGGCTTCCCCATTGACTTTGCCTGTCAGATGGTTGCAACAGTGACCCTGGGACACTGTGACCATCATAAATACATACCAGTTGCCAAGTGACCAAATTTTGATCACGTGACCACGGAAATGCTTGAACAGTTGTGTGAAAAGTGTTCATAAGTTACTTTTTTCAGTGCCGTTGTTTGAACAACAATCACTGGATGGTTGTAAGTCGGACTGTCTGTAAAATTACTTCGTGCTTCTTAGAAAACATGCTAACCGTGTTAAGATTGTTGGGTGCATTCTTGGCAGGTTGACATGCTGAGCGAGATCAATATTGCTCCACGGATCCTCACCAATTTTACTGGTGTGATGCCACCTCAGTTCAAGAAGGATTTGGATTCCTATCTCAAAACTCGTTCTCCAGTCACGTTCCTCTCCGACTTGCGCAGCAACTTGCAGGTGAGACCTTTGTTCAAGATCAAATTTGTAGTGAGAATGGCACTAGACATTTGCCCCACAGATGGGTGTTTTATTAAGCAGGTCTAATCTCTGGGCCACTCCATCATGCTTCCCCCCCTTCTCCTCCTCTGGACATTTTTAAAAGCCAGCAAGGTTTAAGTTTTACTGCATTACTTGCTTAATGTCTCAGACATCGTTGCTTTTAAAATCTTGTATATTTAAGTTGTAGAGTTGTTGCTTGGTGAGTGGTAGGAAAAGCAGAGAAACTGCTTGCTCCCAGAATTTTATCAAATTTCCCTCTTCCTTAGAATTCTTCCTGATGAATGATTCTCCTTCTTTGCCTTTGTTCCACCAGGTATCAAATGAGCCTGGCAATCGTTACAATATTCAGCTGATCAATGCCTTGGTGCTTTATGTTGGTACACAAGCGATTGCACACATTCATAATAAGGGCAGCACACCATCCATGAGCACCATCACCCATTCAGCCCACATGGACATCTTCCAGAACCTTGCTGTCGATCTGGACACAGAAGGTAACCCAGAAGCAAGAGAGGATTGGGGAATAAAGCTGCAAATATGATTTTATGGGTCATGGGACCATCCTTTATATTTTCCACACCAAACCCCCAGAAATGGTTTTTATTTAACTATTTCACTTCAACTTTTATTTAACTATTTCACAACTAGAGTAAATGACAATTATTATTTATTATTATTATTAATATAAATAGAAAGAGCAACATGTTCAAAATCCATATAAACAGTGTGTTGTCTGGTTACAATTCTTTTGAGTAATATTCATCATAGTAATAATAATAGTATTCTGTAATAATTATAATAAGTGATTTTCCCTCATTGATACATATTATTAGTACTAATCAAAATTAATTGAAATCAAGTTAACCCTAATATTAAAATTAATCTTTCTCTTCTAGTTTTTGAAGTTCTAACTCCTGTTTCTCTCAATTAACCACCAATAAAACAGAACCCCTACCTCAAAATATTCAGTGTCTTTTAATTTCAAATGTTAATTTATTCATTTTTGCACATTCTAAAATTTTTGTTATTATCTTTTCTTCTGTTGGGATCTCATCGCCCTTCCAATGTTGTGTGAACACTATTCTGGCCACAGTTAATACACAGTTAATTATTAAATATGTATTCCTTTTACTGTATTCATCTGGTATGATGCCCAACAGAAACATTTCTGGTTTTAAATCTGTATGTTCCTTTATCATTTTTCTAGCCAGTTGTGTATTTTAGTCCAGTATTTTTTTGTTTTCAGACATGTCAATCACATGTAATATGAACCCGGAGTTTGATTGCACTTCCAACACTTGGCCGACATATTCTTAAGCATACTAGCTAATCTTGCTGAAGAAAGGCTGCTAGCTCCTGCAATGACTAGTTTGAATCCTAATTGACAGGGATCCAGATAGTCTGTTTCTCCCAGTATCTACTATCCCCAACAAATATGGAGATTATAGAGTTGCAAAGTACAGAACAAAGTACAGTTTGTTTTAGGGCTCCTTATTGAAAGAAGACAATACCTCATTTTCCCTCATTGATACATATTAATGATTTTCCCTCATTGATACATATTATTAGTACTAATCAAAATTAATTGAAATCAAGTTAACCCTAATATTAAAATTAATCTTTCTCTTCTAGTTTTTGAAGTTCTAACTCCTGTTTCTCTCAATTAACCACCAATAAAACCAGCCCCCAGCCATGAAGGGTAACCTGCCCCCAGCCATGAAGGGGACAACCTGCACCTTGAAATGCACCCAGAAACCTGCTGGCCACCAATGCAGACCACAAAATAGTGGTGTTTCATGTATCAAAAACCCAACATTCTTACTTACCCATTCAGCCAGTGACATACTTGAGGCTGAAGAAGTTCCCTCTTTCCTGGAGAATTTGTTGGCTTTCCTTGCTCCCTACTGAGACAAGGGCAAAAGCAGGGCCTCTCTAGACTACCCTATGGGCACATCTGGACACCAACATCCTTTGTTCTTATAAGACCACAACAATGTTTGTTGATGGCGGAAAAAATGGCTGACTAAGTTGTATGAACCAGGCCAATTTTCTGAGCCTCTTTCCAGCTTGCACAAAATATAGGGCACCAAATTTGAGCACTAGGTGTTAGATAAAAGCAAACTTGTCTTTTCTGTGTTTTTCCCTTGGTTCTCCATTCCAGGTCGGTACCTCTTCCTGAATGCGATTGCCAATCAGTTGCGATATCCCAACAGCCACACGCACTACTTCAGCTGCACCATGCTTTACTTGTTTGCAGAAGCCAATACAGAAGCTATTCAAGAGCAGATCACCAGGTACTGTTGAGAATGAGGAGAAGATATATGAGACTCAACAGGGTTTTAGACCAAGAATTTAAAAAAAAAAAAAAAATCTTAACCAGAAAGCCAGATTACACCTGTTAAGTTTTAAGGGGATAGCAAGCTCCAGATTTAAAACTAAGATGTCACTGCAGCTACTTCAGTGAGCTATTGCTGTTTACCCTAAAAGGCTTTGTAATTGTTTCTGCTATTTGCCTATTTTCATAATTTCATCTTGGTTTTTTTATAGGGTTTTGTTAGAACGACTGATTGTAAATAGGCCTCATCCCTGGGGCCTCTTAATCACCTTCATTGAATTGATTAAAAATCCAGCATTTAAATTCTGGAACCATGAGTTTGTTCACTGTGCTCCAGAAATTGAAAAGTGAGTAAATCTGAAGCCTTGTGACTTTGTTTTGGGAGATTAATCTATTTGTTTTTAAATTAAGTCCTTCCTCCTTGTTCTAGGCTGTTCCAGTCAGTCGCACAGTGTTGTATGGGGCAGAAACAGGCACAGCAAGTAATGGAAGGAACTGGAGCCAGCTAGAAGAAGCTAACTTTGTGGGAACGATGCCAGCCTGGAGTTCTCTATCAAGCTGACAGAAGAAAATGGGTGGGGCTGCCTAAACTATGGGGCTGCCTTCTCTCCCCCCCCCCCCCCCCCCGGGCTTAAACCACAGGTCTTTTGGCCAGAAATCTCCCACATGGGCATGTTACAAAGTTGAAAACTAATTTTCTCACTCTTGGCCAAAATTCAGAAGATACTGTGAATATAATTTTGAACTATTGTAAATACACAGAACAGAAATATTTGTTGGAACTTTGGATTTGTGCATATTGTGTTTCAAGAGAGGCATATAATGTGTGCCTGACCAGCTTATAATAAAGTGGTGGCTGCTGATGCCAAGCCCTTGTCTGGGGCAGATCTGCTCATCTGACATTCCCGGACTCCCAAAGAGTATATGGAAACGCCAGTTTAAATATTATGTAACTTATTTTTCTTGGGGGTGGGACTTCTAAATCACAAAAACAAAGGATGCTCAGGATCCTATAGAATATTAAGGGGAAGGTGGGAGAGTGTTGGGACCCAGGATGTTGCTTTTCCCATACCAGATGCTGCCACCCAAGGCCGGCCAATGGAGTCGGGCACTCCTTGGCAGAGAGAAACCTCCAGTCCTTCGGAAGAGTCCTTTTAGCAAGAGAAATTACCAGGCCTATACATTTTCTTTCTTTATGCTTGTAAATTTGGGAGGGGAGGATGTGAATCTGTTAACTGCTCCCCTGTGGCCACAAAGTTTGAGTTTGTAAAAAGAACAAAAAGGACCAATACAGCCCATTTTGTAAGGATTTTGAATGTTTTGTAAATGTATTGGTCCATGTGTTGTATTTTGTAGCCTTTCTAGTTCTCTTGGGCTTTAGTTCTCCCATTTCTTGTATGTATGCCTTCTGCAGTTAAACATTAAAGTCATGACAAGCAGCAAATGTCTCTCATTCTCTCAACACCTTCCACATTACAGTTAGTCAGAGAAGCAAAACATTTTTATTTTATTTTTAAACTAACAGAAAAATAAACACAAATTTAAAAGGACTTTCATTCCATGAAGTTAAAATTGAGACACCACTCAAAGTTAATTCCAAAAAGTTCAAGATTCACAATATAGTACTGAGGATATGAGGTAAGATGACTAGTGTTAGAACACAGAACATAGAATCTTACAGCTGGAAAGGACCTTGGAAATCTTTAGCCCAAACCCCTCCTTAATCAGGAGACCCTATGCCAGTGATGGCTAACCTTTTTGTCTTTGAATGCCATAGTGCATGCGTGCGCGTCCCCCCGTGCATGCACAGCAGATACCCGACAATCAGCTGGCGGGGGAGGCGCACGCATGCGCAGTGGATCTGTTCCGGGCAATGGCTCGCATGTGCCAGCAGAAATGGCTCTGTGCCACTTCCGGCACGCGTGCCATAAGTTTGCCATCATGGCCCTATACCATCCCATTCAAAGAGGTCTGTAGTCTATTTTTGAAAACCTCCAGTGATAGAGCAGGGGCTCAGTGGTGGCTCAACAGTTAAGATGCTGGGCTTGTTGGCTTGAAAGCTGGATTTGATGACAGGGTAAGCTTTTGTCCTCCCAGTCCCTGCCAACCTAGCAGTTTGAAAACATGGAAATAGGTACCACTTCGGTGGGAAGGTAACATGATGTCATGCTGGCCACATGACCATGGAAATGTCTTCAGATTGTTGGTTCGATTGATGTTCCCAATTCGGGTCTGAGCCTGGTGCCAAGGCCAATGAAGGATGTCAGACATAAGGTGCAGTTTTGATTGCCTTTTTATTGGAGAACTCCAAGGAAAAGGGGTCCTGGCCAAAATGTCAAGAACCAAGAACAAAGGATTAAGAAAGCTATAAATTTTCACTAAGGTTGAAGTGGGCCAAGGTAGGATAATAAGAAATATCATCTAATAAACATTTTAATAATGATCTAACAATTTGTTCTGTTGGTCTCTAGCTGTCCCTATTCCTAAGCCTTGGCTAATGAAGGCTCCGCAAGTTATCTAAATACACATTCTATTTGCTCCAGGCCATCTATTCCTAACTTCTAGCTGAGATCTGTTACTCTGTTACTTTTATCAGCTTTCTAACTACCCAGAATTGTTACAAGTTTTTACACTTGCATATTTCTTGTGAATAAGCAGTCTTACCTAACCATCTGAAATTAGATAACCATCCTGTCAGTCAATTCCAT